AATGCAGGCTGTCTTTTTACCCTTCTGTAAAGCCATATGGAAATTCATCTTAAAGTGTGTCATATCTATTAACTGTTTTAATTGCACTTCTGTAAAGGCTGCAAGTGTTTACTCTGAACCGTTACTATGGAGTCATGACAAATCACACAAATCCATATGAAATCAGTTTGCGCTGGACTTCTTCAAGTGTTAAGTCTGAAAGCGCTCTGTTTGAAGTGAACTTGCAAAATGATAATGGATATGTACTACTCACAGTGAGAGGTCTCTGCAATTTATATAAAGCCTGTCACACTATAGCAGATGGCAATTTGATATGTATTTTTTCCTCCCTATTTTTATTAACGCAGTCCATCAGGCGTAAGAGTGAGCTTTGGAAACTTTTTTCTTTTTAGTTTTGCAGACTCTCATTGCAAAAGATGAAAAAATAATAATCTCTTTACCTCTCTGCCTTGGCGATCCATTTTGTTTCCCTGAGGTTGTGTTGTTTGTGTGGATATCAATTAAAAGTGGATTAACGGGTACATAATGACCTTTAGCAGTAAATTGTGTGTAATGTTGCAAGGCAGGATACAGTATATTCCCCAGATGTCACACGTGCCCCTGACGTATGATGGAGCAGATGTCTTACTGAGCCCAAATGGTGCACAAAGAACATGCCACACGCACAGAGACTTGCACAGGCACTTCAACACACCCTCACAACCAGCGATATGTTTAGAAATAGCAAAACATAGGCCTGATTGGTATGAATTTTAGTTTTTACTAAAAATTCGTAATACATTACCACAACATATGTCTTAATATGCTTTTTTTATTACAAATAAATTAAGACGTTATCAGTATTTTCATAATCAGGCACACAAGATGGGGTGGAGAAAAGCAGATCACTCTAATTGTACTCTAATTTTGGGTACAGAATATCATTCCTTCCAGTTAAAGGAACTGAAAATGATCATTTGCATCAAGGACGTTTCCTTATTGAATCACACCAAGCCTCTGTTATCCTGCTCAGAGGATAAGCAGTTATTGGGTTAAAAGCTCATCTTGTATGATGTCTTTTGAATATGCGCTTCAAACACTCTTGTGTAAAAGAACAAAAGACGGCTCCCTATCCCTTTTTTATATTCCCTTTCTCTCACCCTCTCAATTGCCCTTCACTATATGTCCCTCCGTATGTTTGTTCCTTATCAATATAGTATTGAGTTTGTGTTTGCAATCCTTTATTTAGGAAGCTGTGCAGTGGGTCTGCAGATCTTCCATTCTTTTTCTGGAATGGCGCCCTCCAAATAATGATAAATTACTTGAGCACTATGCCATTTGCTAATTATATCCATGATTTACTACAGAGCCAGACTTAAATCATTCAATTCAGTCTTGCGTAACAATGCAACATTTTTTCTGGGTTAAAAAATGTTTTCCATGTGTATAATCTAAGCGTTTATAGCCGCGCACACACACACATTGACAAACATGCTTTTATTTTCATTTTCCCATATCTCTCGAAACACCCTCCCTCACTGTCTTTTTTTTTTCCCACCTCGCACGACATCATTTCATTCCTGAAACATTACAGGGACTCAAAAATCAAGCCTTGCATTTAGTTTATTGCTTATTGATCTTATAAATCTAGCTTTCATTCCGAGCCTATTCTAATTGTTGTCAGAATGTATTTTATATCGATATTGATTAGATCATGCAAATGCAATTTAGCCCCTTTCTCTTGTTAAAAGCTGCTCTCTTTTTGCTTTTAACAAGAATTCTTGTACATTTGCATGTGTTTCTAAACTGCCTGCATGCCTACTTTTACAGTACATTTCATGCTGGTTAGCATTTTGTAATCCGCAGTGTGAGGCTGCCTTGTGAGGAATGCTCATGTGCACCACATATGGTGTGTTTATATCATTTAGACTATCTTCGCTCTCAAATGAGGGACTTTTATTGGGTGCATTTTGGACTGAGGGGTCACAGTTGTCCTCCAGGGGGAATAGAGAGCTACTGTGGGGCTTGATTTATCCTCACAATGATAAACTGCAAATAGAGAATGTCCACAGAACAACTCCACCACCAAGGTAGAGGCTTGACAGCAGACAAGGCCAGGGGAGAGACAGAAAGTGAGAGAGAGAGAGAGAAAGACAGCAGAAACCAGCAGCACCACAAGCCTGCAGTTCCCCATGTGAACAGAGATAACATCCAGACAGTTTTGTTGTCAGTTGAAAATATGATCTCTGTAGTGGACTGAAGGCACCATATGGTGTTATGTTTTTTATGGCACTGACGTGAGTGATGGCTCACTCCTAGGATCTGGATTGAGCTGGATCGACCCGTATTGAAACTCCTCCCTCCTCTCAAAAAGGCTGATGGACTGTTTGCTAAGTGATGAATGTGGTCGAATGCTGCAGAATGTGAGATTTAAAGAGTCTTGACGTAATCCTTGACATGATTCCTGTCAAATATTTACATGTTATTTTTCTTTCTGCTCTTCTTCTGACAGGTGGAACGAGCCCAGAGTTCCTGCTGAGCTTGTTGGCACCTATATTATTACCTTTGTACTGACATCAGCTCCTGTCTGTCTTTGTTTCTTTCTATCACTCTCACTCTAGGTGAAAAGCCCTACAGGTGCCCTCACTGTGACTATGCAGGCACTCAATCAGCTTCCCTGAAGTACCACCTGGAGCGCCATCACCGTGAGCGGCAGAACGGAAGTGGGCCCTCGGCCAACCATCCTCCATCATCTGAACACAAGGATGACCACAACAAGAACAGCGGTGGGACAGGGGTTTTTGCTCGTCCTGATGTCCTTCGCGGGGTCTTCAAAGGCATGATGCCCTCTGGTCTTGACTTCAGAGGAGGTCAAATGCTTCCACACCAGTGGGCTCCACCAGGAATGCTCTCACCTAGAGACAGAGATCGTGAAAGGGAGCGCCATGGACCGGGGCCAGAGCCCACCACGGAGAACATGAAGAGTCCCGAGGGACCTGGTTCTGCAGCGGACAGTCCTGCTAGCTTCTCTGACCTCGGTCGGGCCTACCAGAGTATGGTGGGAAATGGAGTCAACTTCCAGGGCTCCCTTCAGGCCTTCATGGACAGCTTTGTGCTCAGCTCTATGAAGAAGGAGAAGGAAATGAGAGAGAGTCAGCTGCACGGTCAGCACTTTAGCCAGGAGAATGCAGAGATCAAGACCAAAAGATCCAGCGAGGCCAACCAGGAAGAAAATCCCACCAGTGACATTAAACCAGCTGAGGGTGGCCGTTCACAGTATGAGCCCCTGGATTTGTCTGTTAGGCCTGAAGCGGGGTCCCTTCCTGGAACCTCTATCACCATCCAGGATAATGTCGCCTGGCATGGTTGCCTCTTCTGCTCCTTCACAACTGCCTCTGTAGAGTTGATGGCCCTCCACCTGCAAGCCAACCACCTGGGTAAAAGCAAATGTGGCCCAGGCAAAGATACTAAGGAGCACCTCATGGGAGAGCCTTCCCATGTGGGCAAAGCTACTGGCTTGGCTCCTCCACCACCAGGCCTTCTTCATCACCATGAGGGAGCCCCGTCCAGGGACAGAGAGACTGAGTCTGGGGATCCAAAGGGACAAGCAGGCTGGTCCAACCATCTGGATCAGCCCCCGCACGGAGCCTCCATGGGAGCATTCTCCAGTGACTTCTACAAGCCCTTTGGTCCTGTGTATGATGGCTCTGCTAGAGGGCCTGTTGGATTTCTGGACCAGCAGCAAATTCAGCCTAACGACATGGGTGGTCAGGGCCCTTTGGATGACCTATCCGACAAGGCTTCCTGCAGTGAGATAGAGGCATCTGAGGAACACGGTGGCCAGTCTGAGGAGGATGAAGTGAGTCGTGACAAATCCTTACCCAACCCCACTGCGACAGAGAGACACATGCATTCAGATGACGAAGAGGAAGCAGATGAAGAAGAGGAGATGGAGATGGGTGATGCTGAGGAGGAGGATCGTAGATCCATGCAAATGCTTCCTGAATCTCCATTGTCAGGAAAGGACATCCAAAGATGCAAGCTAACTGTAGGCCCTCAAAGCTCAGGGCTTTCTCCTCCTCAAGCTCCCACCCCTGAGAAGCAGTGGCAGCAGCAAGCAGGCCTGGGTCTTCTATCTTCAAGCGGTGGTCCCCCTGGCCTGGTTAAGCCTGATCAACCCCACCTCGATCACCAGATGAACATGCTATCTGTCCTGCGGGCCTACAGTTCAGAGAACCTCGCAGCCTTCAACGGAGGTCTTGGTGGAAGCTCCAACGGAGGAAGCGGTGGCACCAGCAACATGAAAAGAAACGACCCCTCTGGTGAGTATGACAACATAAACCCCTGTTTTTGTATCATAAATCAATAACCAATGCCGTTCAAAATGACTCACTCTTATACATACACACTCCCTAGCAAGTAAACACATGATATACACTGCATTATGAGTCGCACATCCTCACTGCACAATCTGCTATTTCTTATTTGTGAACCAATTACACATGGAGACATTTGCTCACTGTCACCCTCATTGGTCAGAAGCGCACTAATACAGAAACTCTCTAAAGGGGCAAGATTTGCTTTTGAGCCATTTCAACCTTATTTCAAGCAAGTTTAGAGACCATCAGGAAGACAAAGTAACATATTAATCTTTATTATATTGTCATTTTACAAGAGCTCCAGTCCCACCCTCTCTTTCCAGCCTCTTTCTGGGAATAAGGGCGCCTGCTTTGAAACAGACCAGGAGCTGATGGTCCCTGTGTCATCTCTAGCACACAGAACTTAACTATCTTAGCTTTCATAAAGGCCTCTCCCAAAAGCCCATTACTTTATAAGAGTCTGGGATCTATGGCCTTGTGAAAAATGATCTGTCAGCTTTCATGATTCTGCTAAGGTTACTGGTGCTCCTTGAGACTTCTGTGTTTCACACTGCCCTTTCAGAAAATTTGGTGATAAAAAGAAAAAGAAAGTAACTGTGAATGAAAAAAGAAAGAGAGTAAATCTCCAGGAATTGAATTTGTAGTTTGGTTTGGCTGGCTGTAGTAGAAAGTAAGTGAGTGCCACAGCCTTTAGATGTCCTTTTGTAAGAGTATTTCTTACAGCTGAGAAATTACATTTGCTGAAAGAAAAAAAAAAAAGTCTGATATACTTAAACACACCTATCATCCATTTTCATGTTCCTCCTAATATATTATTAGTTAAAAAGACAACTAATTGTCTATGCGAGAGGTAAGATAGACGTTCTTAGTTTGATGCTTTACATCGGTGTTCTTACTTGAGCAAACATAGAGGAGGAAGGCAGATTTTCTTTTTTTTTGCTCTCAGTAAAAGTCTTACTGCAAATAGGTGTAGGATTAAACTATTGCAAGTATTTTACAGGCATTTTATTAAGCTGCTTTGTTGTCGCAAATCATAATACTTACTTTATTTAATTTGGAACAATCAAACTGTTCATTCAAGACAGTTCATTTTTGTTGTGCTTGATTAGTAACCACAAATTCATCAACGCTGATTTGGGTAATACACAGTCAGTACAGATGTCAGTAAAATATTGTTAAATGTTAAATACTATTAATTTGTATTTAACAAATATAATATAATATATTAAATCGGGTGTATAATAATAATAATAATAATAATAATAATAATAGCAATAATAATAATAATAAAATAATAATAAAAATAATAATAAATAAATAATAAAATAGCAATAATAATAATAATAATAATAATAATAATTATTATTATTATTATTATTGCTATTTTTATTATTTTATTATTTTATTATTATTATTTTTATTGCTATTATTATTATTATTATTATTATTATTATTATTATTATTATTATGCTGTTTATGAATTATTATTGTTTTCTTTGATTAGACATTTGGATCTCTATTCCATCATAATGTTTACCACAAGTGAGTCATCCGCTAACACTCACGTCAGCTGAACTAGTCGATAATGTGAGTCAGTTGTGTGTGCAAAAAAAGCAGGCAAAATCTCTAGTCACTCGGTAATAACCTTGGAAAAACAAAAAGTTAAAGAGATGAACAAATATTTGTATAGCCGTATCAAGGAATCTCGCCACTGTGATATTTGGAAGTAACAAAATGAAGGCAGACCAAGATCGTTTTTACTCAAACTTTCAAACATGAGACAAATATATCAAAAAGAGAAGTGTGAAGTCTGAAGATTGTCACGTGTTCCGCAAAATGGTTTACATTAACAATTAATGGTGCTTTTGACCTTTCAATTATGGAAAAATCTGTCTGTCATGGAGGAACCTGTTGCATTTTTAATATTTAGAGGAGGTCATTCACTTGGCTGAAAATGAATGCTAGTATTTTGTCATCGCAGTGAATGTACCGTATTGTAATATCCTTCTTTAATCAAAGACATTTGAAAAGTGCCCTTGTGACGTCCTCCTCTCCTGCTGCTGTGAAAAGGGACTGACCTTTAGAGATAAGGCTTTGTCTGGAGAACAAAAGTTTTTTGTTTGGCATTTTTAAAGCATGACTCCATCAGTTTGTTGCTGGTTGATGCTGATGGGCAGCCGAGCGCTTCTGTATACGCCTAGACAGTGTGTGGGCATGTTTGAGTAGTACATACAGTACAGTAAAAGCATTGAATGACCATGTGCACAACTCAACAGACAGTTTATTCATCCTTTTCTGGAAGGAATGTGCTAGTATTACTGCTGAACCTGTGTATGTGTTTATGTGTGTTTATAATAGAGAGTAAGAGATTTGGCCCCCTGATGAAAGTATTCTACTTCAAATTTTTCATCTGGTGATCCCCGAAATAACAATGCCAGTGACTTGCGACCCCCAATACCCGCTGAGGTGGTTATAAATATATAAACCTGGCACACAATGGTGCACACATACCAATAGTCCCAAGTCTATTCATTGTTTAATTTTGGAGAACGCCACTCGAAGACCATCCTCCATATTTTAATTTAATTTTGATGTACGTGAGGGCCGTAAAGGTGTCTGAAAGTTTAACCTGATGCTATAAAATCAATGTGCTGTGTCTTTAATATAACATAATCGCCCCAGGGGTCACTAACAAACGCATTTATATTGCTTTTTACTTATATGTTATTTTTTTTTAAATGTATTTTTAGCTATTTTTTTTCTTCTGAAGGTTATGGATAAAATATGGTAATTCTAATAGTTTAATAAAGTGAATTTGATTTTTGGAATTCACCAAGAGATCCCCCTTATTGTATCACGACCACAGGAACCACTTCTCTAGAAATGTATGATTTCTAACAAAATATGTTCAATCCTTAAGTAAAAGGCAAAATATTTAGGTTTTAAATATTGGACTTGAATTCAAATGCATATAAAATTAACTATTTTGTTTTAACTTATTTAAATTTATTTAAATATTTTTTTTTTACTGAAGAGCTAAACATAATTCTATTGTAATTAATAGAATAATTAATAGAAACAGATACTTAGTTTGTTTTTGTATTGTATGTATGTATGTATGCATGTTTGTATACATTACATGTTACTGCCAACCTAGGCTCATTCTAAAAATGTAACGCTATATACATTTATGGAGATCATGAAATACATCCCAGGAGCTACGTTTTTGCAGTTTTTGTTTTCACAAATCCACCAGAGAAGGCGCTGTATATGCTTTTTGAGATCTTAAATTTGTCTCCCTTAACCTAACCGACAGTTTTAAAAAGCAATTCAAAAAAAGAAAAGCCCTTGCCTGATTTTTACCAAGTTTTCAGATTTTACCACATTCTCACCCTGTTATTGACTTGATGATTTTGTTTTTTGGCTTCTATTTTTGTCTTACCCGCTTTCTGGAACCATTTCTCACCGCATTCGAACCCTATAGTCGTGGTTAATTTCTCTTTGCATTTCAAGTCCACTGACATACATGGCGAGCTAACTGGTCAAACTGGTAACAGCGGGAAAGCCATCCGTACAGATGTAATCGGTCTGCTCATAAGCTTGAAAAGGAATGGCATCATACCGTCCTATTGTGTTTGTTTTAAAGACGTGATGCAGCCATATGTACTTCTGGATACATAATTTATGATCTCCAGAAATGTATATAGGACTATGTTTTCAGAATGAGCCAATTTTGGTTACTGCATTACTACAGATCATCACAGTTCACACCTCACCAACATTATTCATATCTTGAATTTTACTGAAAGAGATAAAAATGTCACAAAGACTAAAGCTTATGTTTTTGTTTGTTTGTTTGAATCCCAAATAGATATAAAATATCATGCTGGCAGATTTATTTGATCTTGGGGTTTTTTGTGCTTGGGTCTGTTGTCTAAAATTGAGTGAAACACATTCTGTATACGATTCCTTGGGGCTGGGCATAGATGAAGCAAAAATCCCTCTGAAAATTTAATTCAGGGCAAAATATGATTATCTGAAGTGGCTTGGCATTAGGTTTGTATGCAAATAAAGCATAAATCATTAATATTTAGAAATCTCAGCTGAATATGGTATGCCTTGACATCCGGAATGGAGTGAGTGAGAGTCATTTCAAAGTGACACTCTCATTATTATAACGCTTTTATAAGACACGCAAACACATTTTTTCTCTCTTGCATATCAAGTCTTACATTTGTTTTATTGTAGATTAACCTTCTTCCATACATAAAAGCAGCACACATTTTTCCTTACAAATTACTACAGAAATGTACCTAAATTACATTTAGATTCAACACCATTTTATTTGTTTTATTTATTTGTTTATTTGTTTAATTTTAATTTTATTTTTATTTAATTTTATTTTATTTTTTATTTATTTTATTTTTTAAATATATATATATATATATATATATATATATATATATATATATATATATATATATATTTTATTATTATTTTATTTAATTTTTTTTAATTTATTTATTTTATTTTTATATTTTATTTAATCTTTTTATTTTTTATTTTATTTCATTTTTATTTTATTTTAATTCATTTTTTTATTTAATGTAATTTTATTTTATTATTTTTAATTTTATTTTGTTTTATTGCTTAATTTATTGTTTGCTTTATTTACTGCTTTATTTATGTATGTATTTGTTTAGTTAGTTAGTTAGTTAGTTAGTTAGCAAATATATGATTTATTATTTTATTGAAGCCAGGAACATATCTATTTACATAAGCATTAAGAGAGTGTATTTGTAGTAAAACATTGAAAAAAAAATAGTAATAATCATAGCTCATATTAATCATGCAGTATATCTGTGATTTAGTGGCGAGTTCTGTTAGACACCTCAGACTGTGTCTAGTCTAGTGGATTAGCTTTGTATTGTTCACATTGCTTA